CTGGCGTCGTGCGGGTGCGCACCGTCAGGATCCACCCCGGGGTTACCAAGGTCGTGGTGCAGGCCGGTGGCGGCGCCGAGGGGGCGGCTGACGCCGGCGACAGCATGGAGCTCGACAGGTGGCGGTCCCGCCTGCCCGAGCCGAGCTGTCCGGCCATGGCCGTGGCCGGGTACGTCGATGGCCAGCTCGTTGTGACAGTGCCGAAGGGCCCCGGTGGCGGTGAAGGCGGCGACGGCGGGCAAGGTGAGGTTACCTGGAGATGCAGCAGCGGAGGCAAGATTAGTGGAAGACTGGTGGTTGTACAGTAGGAGCAGTGGAGAAGTACCCTGGTTGGTCCTTCATCTAATCTGGAGTACCTAGTAATGTCTTAGCCATCTTTGTTTTTTTTTGTAAAGATGGGCTGTTCATCATGTTGCTTTAATTTCCTTCCTTCCCTGGTTTCCGTTAGCGACAGACAGATGTTTCATGAGCTATCTTCCTACTGCTTCTCAAGCATATGGAAAGCAGCTATTTGTAAATCATATATTTTTGGTTGCCTTGAAATCAAATGTAAATTCTAGATAAAACTGTGTTGTGGTTGTGTGCCCACTTGATGCAACTTGGATTTTTATCATGGTAGATAAGATTTGGTGGAGCTTAATCTGTAGACCAGATCTGATCAGTTACTGTTTCTGAAGATTAGGTGCAAAGTGGACCACTTGGTTGGTGCTGCATGTCACATGGATTCATCAAACCTCTCCATTTTGATGGCCCACGGTCTCCATAGTCGTTCTGGTACAAGGCAATATAAATCGCAAAAATATCAATGGTTTCAGGAAATATATGTATGTACTGCTACCAAACCAAAGGTACTGCAGCTTGATGATCCATGTTCAAGAAGAGTATACTTTTTTAAAAATCTTTCTGTGGTTCAACTCTTCTAGCAACAGTTCTTTTGTATGCTATTATATTACTAGTTGCCATTTCTTATGTAACTAGCTGAACTCAGGTCAGTGATCACCTGATATTCTTAAGTTCCAGTCAGTACACTTGCCAGTTGCTTTCACCCACAACTTAAAAGCATAAAAATATCATAGGCCAATTAGTCAACAATACCAGAATAGTTTGGATGAAGTAGCAACTCCTGCACGAGGGTCTCCAACAAAAAATAAATAAAACCATCTGTTATCATTCTCATTGGAAGCAGCTTAACGTGATACACAAACATAATAAAATATTTAATTTAATATGATTCCACACAAAACAGAAAATAATGACTAAACTACAAGAATTACTTTGATAAAGTGAAGCATCAAAATATCAATTTGATATTTCCAATGTTGGTAGTTGATGCATGCTGCACTGTTGACTAGGCTATCAGGGTGCAAAAGTCCAAAGTTCCTCCTCTGTCAAAAAAAAAAAAAGTCCAAAGTTCCGCAAGAGGATTATATGAATATACCAGGCACATGCAATTGATAAACATTTGTTAGTTTCACTGGTTAAACTATATGTGTATATTTTCACGAATCTCAGTTCAAGTTGCAAATAAAGGGAACAGTGTCTTCAATACAAAGAACACCAAACAGCTGATGGTAAGGCGTGGAACCGCGGAAAGGAATACAAGCAATGATACTAGTTTAAAGAATCAGGGAAAGGAAAACATGATGGACCCAACAAAGGGACCGGAAACCCAGTTTTGTAAAGTCTACTGCATGATGGACAAGAGTGGACGAAATTCTATCAAGATCACCCAAGTTGTTGCTCATGCATCATATTAAGCTAAACAGCTAAAGCACACAACAATACTTTGTGATCTTTCTCAAGAAAAATGAAATCCATTGGACGGTCACTACTTTTACCTATACTATCAATACAGTGGGTAACATCACATCGGTTTCTAACTTTCTATCATAGCAATTTGATAGAAATATGAATTTGGGATTATTTTATTTTAATTATAACAATCAGGGCAGACAAAGCCCAGTATCCAGAAAAGAGTTGGGTAATAGGTCCGAGCACCAACCTAATCTACCAAGAACCCACATATTTTTTATACTAAAAGCACTAAAAATATGCAACACAGGTTAGGCTATTGATCACACACCATCCGGTACCAGGGAAAATGGGGGTCGTTTATATGTACCGGGCCCTCACTATGGGTCAAATAAGCCGCTGGTCACCAGTTTGAATAAATATGCCCTGCCTGGAGCCAGCTAGGAAATGACACCATCACTAGCTAAATGGGCCAATTACTGAATAAATAAGGTCACCATCAGTCAATCCAAACAAAGGTGAATCTTAGTGCCTGCTCGTAACACATATTCTATTTCTGAAGTACAAACAAAGTAGGGGAAAGTAGATTTGCTTCATTGAGGTAATCAGCCATACAGGTCATGGGCCCATCTTATCTTCCTAGTGGGTCGGCCAAATCAAAGGGTTTGACAGTAGCTGAAGCTTTTTTTTTAGCTGAGTCCTGAGCGTATTGTATCTTGTCATCTTAAAGCAAAATTTCTAAGTGTTTGTTGAACACTGTACAGTGCACAGTACAGGACTGAGAAGGATGCAAGGAATTTATTTATATTCTGGAATCTGAGTTTCAAAAATGGGTTATCTCAATGAAGAACTCAAGCAAAATGGTGAAACATGCTAGCACCTGGGCATATATCACAGTACATAACTAGATGACAAGTCAAGTGACTATAGATTTTCTCGAGTTCTCAATGAACCCCTCAACCCTCATTGATCTTCTTTCTAAATAAAACCTTCTGCAACTTGAGCTCAGCATCCATGTAACTTCATGCTTCTCACATGCACACATGCAAAGTCAATAGTCTGACATGAATACATGATAATCTATCTGAATCCGAGATATTTTCCATGTCAAACATAGAACTGATCAAACAGTTCTGAACTAAACTGTTGTAAAAAAAATATTCAACCCTGGATTTCGTTTTCCAGGCTCGATGCACTTAAGGCTTCTGGAAGTATTACTGTGGAAAGTCATGGTGCACAGATAGTTCTTCGTGAGCTCATGCAAATCCAGCTTCCCTCATATCAGCTATGGTTGAATCAAGTCTTTCATGTAAATCAAACTTTCGGTATCCAGCAACCAATATATCATATGTAGACCTGTTGAGCTTCAACAAACTTCGGATGCGATTCAAGAACAGATCCAACCTATCAAGTTCCCTGTGCCGAAAATAAGTACAGATTATGACCTCGACATCCTCCGGACACATAAACATCACACCATTGTCCAACATCCGGTAAATCGCATGCTCCATATCTGCCAATTGATCTTCCTTAGCATAGAACCTGATAATCCCATGGTGCAGTTGTGTTTCAGAACTCGAGTGTGTTCCCTTTTGTATTAGGGCAAGCAGCTGCTCCATTTTATCAATTTCACCTCCATCTAGGCATATTCTCGTCAACCTCGCAACTATAGCTTTGTTCAACTCCCAATTGCCATCACTTATACGTTTTAAAAAGTCTCCTACTCTGGCCTCCTCCTTTCTAGAGATAATCTCAAGACTGGCCTCCAAAATAGTAGAGTTTGGCTTAATCTCCAAGGCAATCATTTCCTCAAATATCATTTTGGCATCATCTAGCATGTTCAACTGAACAAACCCTGTGATCAAAGATTCAAAAGCTTGATTACTTGGTGTAAACCCAGCATTCTTTGCAGCTACATACCAGCTCATCATAGCATGGCCACTTTCAAGTAGCGAAAATGCACAGATGAATGCATCATATGTAGCTGAATTGGGATGGCAACCATCCATGCCTTCCATAGTCTCGTATAAGGTCATTGCAGAAAGGAGGTCTCCGGCCGACAAGAAAGCATTAACAAGGGCATTGAAAATGTTAGTGTTCAGCTGGATTCCCTTCGCCTCCACGCATTCGAAAACTCTCATTGCAAGCGTTGCATTCCTTGTCTGACCACAGAAACAGATTATCCTCGAGTAGGGCTCGCAATCTTGAATGTCTTCCGTCAGCAGCTTCTCTAGTTTCCATTCCAATATCTAAAGTCAATGTTCACCATTCAAACAATGTTAATTAGCGGCATTAAATATCTCTTTCTCAAATGCAAATCAAAAAGGTCTCTTAAGAATCTCATGAAAATGTATTTACTTAACGGATTCGATCATATCAGCGTTTCAGAAAACGACTATTGATACGCATCGCAAACCGCATTCTGACCCGTGAGGAAAACAGAAATTCCCTTCTGCCGCAGCAGTAAAAGCTAGTAATTAACTAAACCAACCACTAGCTTGATTGGAGGGGCCAAGGAGTGAGGAGAGGAGCGACTCACGAGGTGCGCCTTGGTCGGAGACGACGCGCGGAGAAGCGCGGCGGCGAGGGGCTCCCAGAAGGCGCCGTCGCGGTGGGACCCCGAGGAGGCAGCCTCCTCCGTGGTCGCCTTGACGCGGCACTCCGGCTCCGAGACCAGGCGAACGAGCAGATTCCCGTCCGTCCCCGAGGCCGCGGCGGCTGCCGCAGTCCCCATCCCGCGCCACAAGCGCCGGCGAACGGCGGCGATAGCCATCGTCAGCTCGCGGTGGAAACTGGAAACGGGCCTAATGGATGTGGTACTAAGCAGGCCCACTGAATTTTTCGTGCGGAGAACGCCGCGGACTCTAGAGGAGCCCATCTTAGGATTCTAGCGCAGTTCGGCCCGCAATAAAGGCCCATATCTCGCTGCCGCCTAACCGCTGGCACGCATGGTCCCTCTGGGAGCTTCTTCATCCAGCTTGCAGCCGGCCAGCCCTTGTGCTCGCGCCACATGGCCATGTAGCCGCGACGCGCCTCCTCTTGCTCGCCTCCACGTCTCCCGCCTCTGCACACATGACAAATGTCCCTCTTCGAGCTCCACGCACGCCGCATATAATCGCAACGATCCAATGCACGGACCGCGAGTTGTGTAAGCACACCCAAATCTCAAGAGCTAATCCAATCAGCGGTGATCTCTAGCTACTTAGTTTTTGGTAGTAGGTGATAGTGATACACCAGGTAGCTCGAGAATGAGCCAGGGGCAGCCGAGGAGGCCGTCCGGCCACCAGGAGACGAGCGGAGAGCAGGGCGCCGTCCGCTACGGCGACGTGTTCCCGGCGGTGAGCGGGGGCCTCGCGGAGAAGCCCGTGGCGCCGCAGGACGCGGCCACGATGCAGTCAGCGGAGAACCTGGTGTTCGGACACACGCTCAGGGGCGGACCGGCGGCAGCCATGCAGTCCGCGGCCACCGCCAACGAGCGCATGGGCGCCGTCGGGCACGACCAGGCCACGGACGCCACCGCCGTGCAGGGCGTCACCGTCTCCGAGACCCGCGTCCCGGGCGGCCGCATCGTCACCGAGTTCGTCGCGGGTCAGGCCGTCGGCCAGTACCTCGCGCGGGACGACGATGGTGCCACGGCTGGTGGAGGCGCCTCTGCTGGCGCGGTGGATAAGGATACGACGAATGTGACGATCGGCGAGGCGCTCGAGGCGACGGCGCTTGCGGCAGGTGACGCGCCGGTGGAGCGCAGCGACGCGGCCGCCATCCAGGCGGCGGAGGCACGCGCCACGGGGCTGGACGCGAACGTGCCCGGCGGCCTGGCCGCGCAGGCGCAGTCCGCCGCCGCGGGCAACGCGTGGGCGTGGCGCGACGAGGACAAGGCCACGCTCGGCGACGTCCTCGCGGTACGAGTGACGACGGGCCGTTTTCGTTTCGTGCCGCTGATATTATCTTACCAGTGTGTACAATTGTACATGCGTGCTGTAAGGGATCGAGATCTTGACTCTTGTTGGTGCATGCATGCAGAACGCGACGGCGAGGCTGGTGGCAGACAAGCCGGTGGAGAGCGCCGACGCGCTGGGGGTGGCTGGCGCGGAGAACCGCAACAGGGACGACGGGACGGCGAGGCCAGGAGGCGTGGCCGCGTCCATGGCTGCGGCCGCACGGCTCAACCGTGACGAGGCGGTCTGGGAGTGAAGCAGCTAGCGCGGGCGCATGCGCGCTGCCGGGGAGACGAGACGTGTCCTGGACCCGGAGTCCTCGGTTTTTTAGTTCGCTAGCTCTGTGCTCAGCACGCTCCGCGTAGCTGCAGACTGCAAAGTATCGTATCAATGTGCCGTCTCAAAAGGTGTGTATCTCGACTTCAGGTGAACTGAGTTGTACTGTATATAGCAGTGTTGTAGCTTCTTGCAATAATAATAATGTAATATACGCGCGCGTCAAAGTGTGACCAGTGTAAGATATATGTACCCAGTGCACTTGCATGTTAATGGTGAAGATGTGGTAGATCAACTCTACAAAATAGCCCCCTATACTGAAATTTGAATTCGAAGGTTCAGGTAAAAAAACGAACAAATTTGAAAGTTCAGCTAAAAAACAGGTTTAACAGTCTACGATCATGTCTGTAAAAAAATGTCTAGCGGCCCGCCCACGCCATCCGGCGCTTGTGGCAGCGTGGCGCGTGGCGCGTGGCGGCCGCGCACGGGCAGCGCCGCGGCGCGTGCGTGATGCCGAAGCAGAACAAAGCCGGAGAGCTGGATCGGATCGAAGCTGCCGCCTGTCGGGCTCGGTGGTCGTATGCGTGCGTGCGCGATCTGCCTCCTGCCTGCCGCGCGCCAGAGAATTTACGGCGGCGGCGGGACAAGCACGGGAGCACGGATCCTGTCCGTGTTGTCCGTACCCCCGCGGTCGCCGGCGCCTGCCGGCCGCCACGCTCGGGTCGGTCGGTGACCTCGCCGGCTCGCCGCCACTACGAGCTGGAAAGACGATCGAGGCGCTCGTACGCTCGGTTCATGCAGGTAGTATCATGCACGGAGCATCAGCTGCTGGCTGGTGGCTGATGCCGACCCGGTCGAACGGGTCATCAGGATATTAGTCAATCGGAACTAGCAGTAGGTTGGTGACCTGACCATCTACTGGCGCGAGTGGGGTGAGGTACGACGAGCTGCTTCTGCCTGCGCGTGCGAGCCCGGACGGCCGCGCTGCCGCGTGCCTGGCCCCGGCGCCTGCAGCGTAGTTTGGGCAGCGGGCGCACGTCTCCAACACGTACAGGGCCGTCTGTCCGTGGAGCGGTGGAGGTGGAGCAGAGGCGCAGCGCAAACGGCCGAGACGGCGCCTAATTTATGAGCGCGCGCGAGCCGGTGCAAGGCGATGGCAACAAGGAATGGGCCGGGATGTACCGATAGCGGCCGCGTGTATTGGGGGCGCGTGGCGTGGCGTGGCGTCTCCGCGACTCCGCGCGAGGGTGGGCGCATGGCAGTAATTGATAACCAAGCCGAGAAGGAACGAACTCCACATCACATGTGCCCTGCTCGCCGGGCATGCAAACGCCAGGAAATGGAAATCATGGCGGCGCCGGCGCGGGTGGGAGACTGGGAGGGACAGCCACGCGGAACACGGGTCATGTGCCACCGTACCGTACGTTCCGGCCGATCGCTTCGCGGACAGTACTTTACTTACCGCATGACTTGGCCGGCCAGTGCCTCGTCGCTCGCTGCCTCGCTCACATCAGTATCCGGCAAAAGCAGTGATCCTCTGCACAGACTACAGAGCGCGTGTCTTGCGTGGTGTCGACGGGGCAGGAAATGCATTGGATTGGAACTAGCCGGTACGGGCAGGAACTGAGAAGAAGATCGAGCGAGTTGCATTCCATGGGAGACGCGGAGACCTCCCTCCATGAATCCATGAATCCATGATGGAGGTGGATCGATCTGCATGCAACTTGTTGCTCCTGTGCGTGGTATCCGCCCATGCATACCTGGGCACAAAAAACCGAAAACCGAGAACCGAACCGAAATAACCGGAACCGAAACCGAAGTAACCGAAACCGAAAATTTCGGTTCCATGTTCGGTTCCAGATTTTCAGGAACCGAAATTAGTACGGTTAATTCGGTTCCAGCACTCGGTTAACCGAAATGACTCGAAATAACCGAAATTAGCCCAGGCTGAGTTCTGCGGCTCTGCCTCTGCGCTTCGTTGATGCTTGATGGCCCATCGAATACAGCCCAGCTGCCCAGCCCAAGGTAAACCCTAAGTCCTCACCGATCACTCTCCTGTCCTCAGTCCTCAGTCCTCACCTCACCGCCCCCGACCCCGTCCCCACCGCGCCGATCCGCCACCCGTGGTGCGCTGCCCCTACCCTCCGGTCTCCGACCCCACCCTCGCCACGTCGATCTGCCCTCGCCCTCCCCTCCGGTCTCCGGCCGTCCCCAGTCCCCTCCAGCATCCGGTCCTCCCCTCCCCTCCGCGACCCCGACAGGCGACAGGCCGACACGCCAACTCCCTCCCCGACACAATAGGCGGCTAGCGCGCGGCGCCAGCCATCCCAAAGACGCTGCTGAGGCGGGACGCACCACCCACCCACCCGCCCGCCGCCCTAAGCGACCGTCGCTCGCCGCACTGACGCCGCCACTTCTTGTGATCTACTCCACAACGGCTACATCAATTGCATCCTGCAATGTAAGTGTTAAAGATCCGATCAGATTTGTGGACTGATTTGTTGTGGGGATTTGTAGTTGATAACTTGATCGCATTTCTTCAGGATGTCCGACGAGGACATGGACCAAGACTTGAGGGATTGGGAAGAGACTTATATGCGGGAGTGATGGGAATTTCAAGGATGATAGTGATGCAGAGAAGGATGGTGCTGGTCTTTCTGGGGCTGATGGTGACGCAGAGAAAGGAGAAGGAGGTCATTGATGTAGAAGTTGAGGAGGAAAAGAAGAGAAAGCCGATGGCATCCAGATCTAGCATGTGGGATCACTTCACCAAAATCTACGATAAAGGTCAGTTGGTCAAGGAAAATGCAACTATTGCAAAATGAAATTGCAAACATCCAATGGCTCAATGGTACATCTCGCTATGTGTAAGCATTTTAACACTTGCAAGCGTAATCCTCATAGAGTTAGTGATGATGCAAAACAAGGTGTTCTGTCAGTAAGTCAAGGCACTAGTGTAGGTACTTGGAAGTTTGATCCTGAATTGCTTAGGTCTGCTTTTGCTGAAATGATCATAGAAGATGAGGAGCCATTTGGATATGGTGAGAAGCCTGGTTTTAGAAAGTTCATGTCTCTTGCTTGCCCTAGGTTCATTATCCCTTCTAGAAGGACATGTACTAGGGACACTGTGCAGTTGTACTTTGAGCAGAAAGCAAAACTTAAAATTTTCTTTCAAGAACAATGCAATAGAGTTTGCCTCACAACCGATGGTTGGACATCACAGCAACAAGATAATTACATGACTGTGACAACCCACTTTATAGACAAAGATTGGTGCCTGCATAAAAAGATAATTAGTTTTTTCAAGGTAAAAGGTAAAAAGGGGGATGATATTGGAAAACACCTGCATAAAGTATTGCTTGATTGGGGGTTGGACAAAGTAATGACAGTAACAGTAGATAATGCTAGTGCAAATGATAGTGGTGTTAGTTATTTGAGAAGACAAATGAATAGTGTGAAAACTAGCATAGCAGGGGGCAAATACCTTCACATGAGATGTGCTGCACATATACTTAATTTGATTGTCCAAGATGGTTTGAAAGAAGTAGACCAGTCTATCAAGCATGTACAGGCTGCGATTAGATTTGTTAGGAATGGTTCATCAAGATTGGCCAAATTTAAAGAGATTGCACAATGGGAGAAAGTGGACAGCAAGGCATTCTTGAACCTTGATGTGTGCACTAGGTGGAACTCAACATATGATATGCTAAAAGCAGCTTGCACATATGAAAAGGTGTTTGTAAGGTATCCAGATGAAGATCCATACTATACAATTGAATTGCTTAGTGACATTAAGCCAGGTGTTCCCGGTCCAGGAGTTCCTGATGAGCATGATTGGGATAATGCAAGAAAACTAGCTGAGTTTCTAGGGCATTTTGCTGAAGTAACAAAACGTGTTTCAGCATCATTAAGTGTGATTGCTCACACTTACTTTCATGAGATTGGAGAGGTCAATGAATTGGTGAATGAATGGATGAGTAGTTCAGATTCTGTCCAGCAAGAAATGGGGAGAAGAATGAAAGACAAGTATGACAAGTATTGGGGGAAGTGGCATGAACATTTAGAAATGCAAAATGATAAGGCAAAGGGAAAGGAGAAGGAGAAGGAAAATATTAACTTGCTGAATTTTGTTGCTGTTGTACTTGATCCTAGATACAAGCTTTCACAGTATACAGAAATGGTAATCGAAGAGATGTATGGTGACGGTGTTGGACAGAAAGTTTGGGCTGCAATTACCAAATGCTTGCAAAACCTTTTTGAAGAATACAGGAACAATAGTTCTCCAAGTAATGTGCAACCCCAACCAAGTGAATCACCCCCATCTAAGCAAGGTGGAGAGGGTGCTAGAAAGTTGAAGACTAAGCTAACAAAGAAGATTAAGCTGAACAATGGAACAAGCAGTTGCAGCAGGGGCAGCAGGACTGAACTGGAAAAATACTTGGCTGAAGAGTGTGAAGAAGATACCAAAATATTTGATATTCTTGCTTGGTGGAAGGGGCAGTCCACTAGATTTCCCATATTGTGTACATTGGCCCGTGATGTGCTCGCCATTCCAATATCCACAGTTGCTAGTGAATCGGCCTTTAGCACTGGTGGGCGTATTCTAGATGATTTTAGGAGTTCACTCACTCCATTTATGATTGAAGCTCTTGTTTGCACTCAAGATTGGCTTAGAAGAGCAACTCCCATCAACTTAGTAGAGAATACAGAAGAATTGACCAAAGTAGAAGAAGGTGACCATTTATTGTACCATTTCTTTACTGTTTTCAACAATGAAAAAAATATTTAATGTTTTCTTTGTTTGCTGTTTTCTATTTTTAGAATTTATTAAAGAATTCAAGGACAAAGCCATTGTTGATGCCCATGCTGCCAAGTCACAAATCCAAGGCAGCAAAAAGAAGATGGTTACATCCACCAACATCAGCTCATCACAGCCAAACAAGTCCTCCAATCCAAGCAAATCCTCAAAGGAAAGCAAGA